ATGGCTCGAAAAGGGGCACAGCTCGTTACGTAACCCTGGAGGACCGGTTAGAGCCTCTAGGAAAGAGAGTTGCGCCCAAAGCCCGTTGTTGCCTCCAACTGCGCAGCGGCCTGGTCCGTGGCGGCAACAACAACAACAACAACAACGTCAACAACGTAGCAGCAGCAAACACAGAAATAATCAGGGACAAGCACGTCAGTCACAACAATCACAATCACGATCGGCACGATTGGAATGCTGATTTATGCTACGGGGCACTACTGATGTTCAACAGTTGCCTTCTGGAGGCTTGCACAGCATGATTTGCGATATCTGTATTGTGCTTTTGCTGGGTCTGGACTGGAATTGCCGGGCCAGGTCGGGGGTTCGGCAAGGAGGTGTAGGTGCAGGCTGATGAATCTTTGGTGCAGGAGTCCCCGAAATCACGATGGATTCCAACACTAGTCGGCATGAAAATGTCGAAAATACACTCGAAGCCTCCAGCAGAAACACCAGAACACCCAGACTCCCTGCACGGCTGAAGCAGCCGAGCTGCTTGATGGACAGCGCCACCCTCTCAGTCATGGCAGCGCCACCACCATCGTAGATGAGGCACAGGGAGGGCCCGAGTAAATGAAACGATGAAACGATACAGCTGGACGTCCACCCAGTGGAACACTCTAGGCAGCTCCGGCCAGCACTCACCACAAGTCCCCCTTTAATCGGCCTACTTGCAATTCGAGTAGTCTTCCTGGCTCTGGTCTCCCGTGTTATGGGCCAGAGCCTTCGAGTGCTCTGCATGCCCCATGAGCCGTCGTGCGGGCATTGATTTTCCCGAAGCTGGCACAAGGCTGGAGGGTGCAATAACGGCAATACCCCTGTGCGAAGGCTGGGAATCCTGAATCCGAAACAGGATTCTGGGTTCAGGATTTGGGGCGCACATCCCGCTTGGTTTCTTTAGCCAAAACTCCCCGAGCTCAGGCTGAGGCTGTCCCTTTTCGCGCCTCGCTAGGCGGAGTAGCCTGGAGGAGAGGCTTGCCAGGGCCCTTGCCCTTGAGGCCCTTGAGGCCCTTGCGGCCCTTGAGGCCCTTGCGGCCCTTGAGGCCCATGGCCCTCAGCGAATCCTGCATAGCCGCCATAGCCTGCTTCGTACCCCTGCAGGTAGCCAGGATAACCTAAGTTCAGTTCGAAGCTCGACACATTCACGCAGTTCATGCGATATGCTTAATATGCTTCCATCAAAAGCTTCCTGCTGCAACTCTGGGACCCTGCGGATATGCAGACTGGCTTGGATCTGCCGGAGCAGGCTCTGTGCTTTCGGCACTTGGCGGGTGATTCCTCGCATCTTCCATGAGATCAGGGTTTATGGAGGGACGGAAAGATATCTAGGAAGTTTTGAAGGTGACCGGTACTACGCCGAATGCTTCCAAGATTCATGTAATACCAAACCCCATAGCCCACTCCACCCGCAACGAGAAGCGTCAACACAGTGACCGTGATGACGGGGAAGCCACCACCACCCTCTTCGCTTCTGCCTTGGCTTCATTTTTTGTACAAACGTACCTATCAAACTTTCTGGTCATTCTTGCAAGATCATTGCCGCATTAGCCGCCAGGCCAAACCGCTCTGTTCAACGCAATGCAGGGAGCGGCAGTTTACATGCAACCGAAACTCAGCAAAAGCGAAGCCAGACCTCCCCGCATAACATTTTTGAACATCTGCAAGTTCTTCACCCAAAACGAAAAACGAAATTTCCTGGCAGCCGAAGCTGCTTCCCCATGCTGAACAAACGTTGGAGTCCAAAGGCAGCGCGACCGTGCCGACTGAGGCTTTCTTCGGGAAGACCTGCAAGAGGGGATCACCGCATTTCTCATTCAGACTCCTGCAGTGGGTATTGGTGCAAGTATTCAGATACGCGCTGGGAGCAGTCTTGTTGTCAGTTACTGAGTTACGATTCTTCTTGCAAGTCTTTTCTCTGGCCGTGTCGTGCATGAAGTGGAAGAAGCGCTGGGCATAATCCTCGGCGGGCTGAACGGAGACTTGGCGACCGAAGACGCCGAGGGTGACGACGTACTCTGCCTTGGACTTGGCATCGTAGGGCCTGGCCAGGGTTTGGAGTTTCTAGGACTTATTCGTAGCTCAGAGTAGGCCCCTAGGCTGACCGAGTTGAAGGCTTGGGATTTACGGCACGGGACACAGGGAGGTTGCGCAACTGCGCAGCATGGACGGATGACCGCAAGACCTGAAGCTGCAAGATCAATCACTCCCACGTGACCATACAGCAAAAGTGCGAAAGCCAGTCCACACGCCTTCTGCAAGTGACCCCACCCTTCCAACTCAAGCTCTTGTGCCAATTGCTCCGAGTGCGAGGTTGTGCTGCGAGGCAGTTCATGTACCCAACAAGGCAACATGTGCTGACCGGAACAAAACATGGTCATGGGATGTTTGCTCGATTTGCTTGATGACGGATCCGAAGAGTTGGGTTCTTACTATAAAAGTAGCGGATCCGGACTAACGATGAGCAAACACAACCGCTTGAGGCCCACCATTGCTTGCGTTCTGGCTCTCGACGGACTCTCCGCAGAGAACTTGGATGAGCAGTCTCTGCTGCGACTCTCTTAAGGATTCAACATACCATCAAACCGACTATGAAACCCAACCAGCTGTGGGGTCGGCAAACGAGCCGGGCTGGCTTGAGCAGATCAATCATGCCAAAGCAGGCGACGTGCACTTCAAGGGCTTCCGTTAGTGCCGCAGTACCTCGGCTTCCGTGATTTGTGGAGCGATCCAGATGAAGGCCAATGGCATCGCTGCAGACATGCCGCATGATGACTTGCCGAGAGCTGGCGGCTTTGGGTGTCCACCACTGCATAAGATCCGCGGGATGATATTATAGAAGTCGCCCAGCTTGTAGGCGGTCTCGCCACACCCCGCCTTCGGATGGCATACTGGGGAGATGCACCTGATCTTTGCCGAGTTTGGCCCAAGTTACGTAAACCTGGGAGTCGTGGGAACCATGGAAAAATGGTGCAACGAAAAAGTGAAGAGTGAGGCGGTAAGCTCCGTGCGATGGCTGGCCCTTGCCGTTGCACGGAGCAAGGGCATAAACCAGCAGACCCGTGATCAAGGAATAGTCGATCAAGTTCGCTTCGCCAAGCATTGCACTGTCCTCGGTGGTCTCCCAGAACAGAAAAGTCCTTGTCCGCCCCCCTACAGGCAGGAGCTCCCGCGATCCGAATCCGAAGCCCAGCCTGTATTCTCACACCGGGTCTCTGATTCCAGGGCCTCTAGCACCCTGTCCCGCTGCTCAGGGGAAAGCGCGATCTTCTTGTCGGCGTCCCTCCAGTCGTTGTCCTTCAAGGACTTGGGCCCTCATGATTCCTTTACTACTTTGCTTTCGGCGATTTCGGCGAAAAGCCTCTAATCCCTTTGTCCCGACTCTTCATGCCTTTCGTTCCTGAAAGCCCGGGCCTTCTGACCGTGGTCTTGCAGACCATTCGCGCGGCCGGCGGAGGAGCCCTTGAGGTCCCAGACAATCGGGAAACTGACCTTCCGAGGTTTTGAGGGGACTAGGTTGGAGGTGCCCTTTCAGGCAAGTCGCTGTGACTGGTTAACATGTGCTCTTAAGCCGAGGACACAAGGTCTACGGCCTTTTCTTAGGGCTTGGCCCTTGACTTCAAAGCAGTACCCTTCTGTGGGTCCGAAATTGTTTGAGGAGTTGTTTTGTTTTTTGGGTGGAATTGTTTTTGTTTTTCTGCTTTTGCCTGGTCTGAGGGGACGGGAGGGAAGGTGGGGAGGGAGGGAGGGCGGGAGGGAGGGAGGGAGGGAGGGAGGGCGAGAGGAAGGGAGAGAGAGGGAGAGGGAGAGAGAGGCAGAGGGAGAGAGAGGGAGAGGGAGAGAGAGGGAGGGAGAGGGAGGAAACGGGGGGAAAGGAAACGATGTTTGGAAGGGAGGGAGGCAAGGGCGCCAAAAAGGAGACAAAAACGCAAGCACATGAACAAACAAGCAAGCAACCAAGAACTCGAGGAAACAAAGGGAAGCAACGATATAAGGAAAGACAACAAGCACAAAGCAGCAACAAAACAAGGAATAGCGGTAAGCAGA